TAGCGGAGGTGCAATATTGACTAAGTATGAAAAATGATTTTTCGGAATAATCATTTTCTCAAGATAATTTTTGGCGGCTTTTGTTCCTTACACATCAAATAAGAAAACTTGATTTTATGGGATTTTAGTATAAAGTATATATTAACTTAATGAGCCATCATTTTTAGCCTAAATCGTATTCTGCACTAAAACCAATTTTTCATATTTTGATTTGGTGGGAATTTGATTTTCTAGTATTTTTATTTGAATCCAAATGGGGGGTACTTTCTTATTTACATTGTAAAATTAAGTAAATGGAGTAATATAAAAATAAATAAAAGTAAAAGGACAAAGACATTTACTTAAATGTTGAAAATGAAAATAAGGTCCGCCTCTGCCTACGTGTATGAGGATTTGGTGTTGAAAGTGAAGAGTTTTGGTAGGTATTTATAGAAAAAAAAAATTCAGAATTTTTGGGTTTTTTTTAAATATTTTTTCATTTTTTTATTGCACAAAAATTGGCTGCCGTTGGATTGGAGGAAAAATTCTGATCAGACAGCCCAGAACGCGACACGTGGCAGAGCGGGATTGTAGCGCTACACTATAGCAATACTGTGGTGGTACTGTAGCGCTGACGTCATCGTGATGTCAGCCCGCCCTCGTTTTGGATCAGGGGCTCGACTTGCCCTCGGGCCAGCCGAGTTCGCTGGGTCCCACCTTCTGCCCGGGCTGCATTTTGCTGCTGGAAACATGTTTTTGGCCCAAACCCCCCAGCTTGACCTGCTGGAACTGCTCTAAGGAACTACCTTTCAAGGCCTGTAGATGGTTGGCTTGGTCCTTGCAAAACTTCTCATAGAGTCCTTGGAACTTGGCAGTTTTAGTCTTCAAGCAATTCTCACACTGCAGACATAAATTATATACAACCAAATTATTAATCAGAATAAAAATTTCGGGCATCAAACAAATTAACTAGAAATTCAAATTTCTCCGCAGGATCATTTATGGTTTTAGCTCTTTTCTTCTCCTTCCACAGACCTCTTTTGATATAAATTTTTAAAGAAGTTATCAGAATATTTAGGTCTATTGAAGAGCCTATGACATGCTAGCAGCGAAACTTTGTCTGACAATTGAAAACTACAAAAGGCATCAAATCCAAATGCCTAAATTAGTAGCTGTTTGAACATTTCATATAAAGCTTAAAAAAAGATCGTTCATCAGGTTTCACAAATTAAATTAAAGATTCATATTGTAAATTCTATCAGAACTAACACAAATAAGCACGCAATTGTACCTTCAATTTTCAGAGTTTTTTGCAATTTGTAAACGAAATGGAAAACTAGGCAATAAAACAATGACAATCGAATTAATCTCGCAAAGAAACAACTCAAAGATATTCGAATTTCTGCGATAATCAAACTGGATCAGACCGATAGATTCGGCTCACCTTGAAATGGTCTCTTCGTTCTTCTTAAGCCCGTCCTTGTGAGCTTTCTCTTGGATCTGGTGCAGTGCCGACATAATTCCTTCGATAAAATTCAACCATAATCTCAATCTCATAACTTCGTCCACAAATCTACGAGCAAAAACCAAAAAGATGAAGAAGAAATTATAGGAAAACGAACTTGGAGAGGTCGAGATCGAGGTGATCCGATTTGGCGAGCTGAGGCTCGGTCCTCCTGCGCTTCTTGTTACTCGGTTTTCAAATTATAAAAAAAAACCTTTAAAAAAAAAAAAGTTAAAATAGTAAAATCTTTGTTTTCTTTCTCTCTGATAGAAGTTAAAATAACAAAACCTTCTAAATGAGGGCGCGGAGTCCGTGTTGTACCAGGACTCCCATAGACGTTAGGATTCCGCAGCCCACTGAAGCCTAGGGAGTTTCACTAAAATACCCAAAATGGGGGCTGAAATTATAAAAATACCCAACACTCAAAACACTTTATAAACATACCCAAAACTCATCATTACACACACTCAAAACTCATTTATAAACATACCCAAAACCCATCATTACACACATACCCAAAACCCATTTTGGGTATGTTTCTATGTTTAAATAGTACTTGGGTATTTTTATAAATACATGTCTAGGATTGGGTACTTTTATAAATATCTATATTTAATAACCCTGTCTCTTTTCTCTCATAATTTACCCTAAATCCCAAGCAGCATTTTTATATTTACCTTAAATCCAAAGCGGCGTTTTCCCTTTCGAGCACAAACAGTCATGGACGGCGGCCTCGTGTCTCCACTTTTGCAAATCCACCAGCCAGAGCCAAACAGTACGTTTTTCCTCTTTTGTTTAATTTAAGGGTTTGTGACGAAAATTATGTGCAATATTTTTTCTCGTCGTAATCGAAGATAAGCAAAAAGATGCAAAACAAACAAAACAGATTCGGGAAAATTTCTATTAGACACAAAACAGGTTTAGCGGAACGAGATTTCCCGGCGAAACAAATAAATTAGAGCGGTGGGCATGGGATCCCATCAGAGGCCAAAACGTGAACCAAGTAGGGTGGTGGCTGATTAGCCCAGCTTATTATAGCATTTTAAAAGTCCTATGTATAATGTTTGATAGCATCATTTGATAACTATCCATAAATGCTATATTATGCCAAAATTTTGGAACAGTTTTTGAAGATGTTTTTTTCCAGCCAATTTATTTTGGTGTTTGTATGATGCATTAATAATATCGTTTTTTGTTGATGACATCATGTCATTACTTCTAACTTCTTTGACATCATCACCGTTTTTCTTTTTGTATTTAACAATGTAATTGCATGGAAACAGGGAGCAAGGTTGTTGAATCGGAGGCTGTTGAACTTATTGGTAAGCTTTTGATTTTAGGGTCAAAGAAAAAAATAAAAAATGCACCTACAGCTTCTCTATTTACATATATTCGTTTTTTTTAATCTCTTATGACATAACATCTATATTATGCCAAAATTTTGAATCAGTTTTTGAAGATGATTTTTTCCAACCAAGTTATTTTGGTGTGTGCATGATATAGCCGATATTTAATAATATCGTTATTTGTTGACGGGATCATAGATATCATTCCTTCTAACTTCTTTGACATCATTACCTTTTTTTTATTATTTAACAATGTCATTGCATGTAAACAGGGAGCAAGCCTGTTGAATCACAGGCTGTTGAATCGGAGGCTGTTGAACCTATTGGTAAGCCTTTGATTTTAGGGTCAAAGAAAAAAAGAAAAAAATGCGCCTACAGTTTCTCTATTTACAGATATTCGTTTTTTTTTTCTCTCTTATGACATAACATCTATATTATGCCAAAATTTTGAATCAGTTTTTGAAGATGTTTTTTCCAGCCAAGTTATTTTGGTGTGTGCATGATGCATAGCCGATATTTAATAATATCGTTATTTGTTGATGGGATCATAGATGCCATTTCTTCTAACTTCTTTAACATCATCACCTTTTTTCTTTTTGTATTTAACAATGTAATTGCATGGAAACAGGGGGCAAGGCTGATGAATTGGAGGCTGATGAATCAGATACTGATGTATCATTGTTTGATGAATCTGATACTGATGAATCGGATACTGAAAAACTTATTGGTAAGCTTTTGATTTTATGGACCAAAAAAAATAAAGTGCCTACAGCTTCTCTATTTACATATATATATATATACAGTCCCCTTCAGTTGAGGGATCCCTCAAATAGTGTTGTTTGAGGGATGGGGCGCTCAACCGTTGGATCTGTTTTAATGACCTTGTGTGGCTGAGATTGAATTACATCTTTTAACCCGTTTTCACACTCCTGACCCACCACAAACTCCACTTCAGTTGAGGGAACGACGTACGTTGGGAAACCAAACGTCTCTCTTTTTCCTCCAACGCTTGGAGACCTATCACGCAGACCAAATGACCCAACGTGAAGAAGAAGACTCACCATCGTCAGTTGAAGAAGAAGACCCACCATCGTCAGTTGAAGAAGAAGACCCACCATCGTCAGTTGAAGAAGAAGACCCACCATCGTCAGTTGAAGAAGAAGACCCACCATCGTCAGTTGAAGAAGAAGACCCACCATCGTCAGTTGAAGAAGAAGACCCACCATCGTCAGTTGAAGAAGAAGACCCACCATCGTCAGTTGAAGAAGAAGACCCACCATCGTCAGTTGAAGAAGAAGACCCACCATCGTCAGTTGAAGAAGAAGACCCACCATCGTCAGTTGAAGAAGAAGACCCACCATCGTCAGTTGAAGAAGAATATATATATATATATATATATATATATATATATATATATATATATATATATATATATATATATATATATATATATATATATATATATATATATATATATATATATATATATATATATATATATATATATATATATATATATATATATATATATATATATATATATATATATATATATATATATATATATATATATATATATATATATATATATATATATATATATATATATATATATATATATATATATATATATATATATATATATATATATATATATATATATATATATATATATATATATATATATATATATATATATATATATATATATATATATATATATATATATATATATATATATATATATATATATATATATATATATATATATATATATATATATATATATTAATCTTTTATAACATCTATGTATTTGTTGTTATTCTATGTAATATTGTGCTCACAATATTGATTTTTGAGTTTTATCATCTTCATTCATTCATTGTTTTTTTATATATATAATAATAACTGATTTTTTTTTTATTGCTTTTATTGTATTTAACAATGGATCAACATATTGCATACAGGTCGTGAATGTGAGTATTGTTTAAAGGTGGGTGTTCACTTTACCCAAACATGCCCTTACAAGTATCATGTCCCAAAGAACGCAATTGTTAGCAGGAGGTGTGTGGTAGTTTGTAATTTTTGTGGTTGCCTCTTTAGAGACTCATGTTGTGGCAGTTGTGGCCTAAGCGATGGATGTGCAGTTCTCATGGATTGTTTACATTGTGGGAAGATAGGTGAACACTTGACTTTTACGTGTCCAAGCCGCGAGGGGAAACCTTCTTATTTTTCTTGTGACCCTTATACTGGTTCTTGTTCTTTCCATTGAAATGGTAGAGAATGGAGAGTTAATGGTACTCTAAAAGTTAAAGCAAAGATTAAATGTTAATTTCAATTTCAACAAATTTTTAGAATTTTTATTTTAAATATTTTTAAATATTTCTAATCTTCGTAGACATGTAGAGTAACTTCATGAGTAGATCTCGTGCAATATTTAATTTGACTCCTACATGTGGCCCTGTGGCAATGCCATGCTTTTGTTTAGCCATGCATCCTATCATCATTTGATGTCTACATTGCGTTTTGTTTTTATCGCAAATAAATTGCAATTTGCAACACATGGTCTATACATTATAATAAAATCGTACACATATATAAAAGAGGGAAGGCGGAACCAAGTGATATGGCAGTGTCATGCTTGCATATGAATCATGATATGAGGGCCAAGTGATGCTTAAGTAGTTGGATATAATTGCCCGCAATGTAATCAATGTTACTGCTTTCCACCCTCTCATGAGAAACTGACAGTGAATGTACCAGGGTTGCTTTAAATTCATAAATCAATTAGATAAGGAATTGAGATTAGGAATTTAGAATTGAGCTCAAATGTGTAATTCATGGTTTCTAACTTTTTATGTCATCAAGTATAATTTATTTGAAAACTTGGATGCAACAGAGTAGACACATTGTTTCAAAATAAAGGGATCTCAATAAGGTCCAAATATGATGGGGTCGCACTCTCGTTCACGCGAGGAGAGCTTTGATGGCTAGAATTAGGATTTCTCCAGTTTTCTTTATTCATTCTCTATGCCGTCTCTCTTAGTCTTCTCTGATTATCTCTCTAGGTTCTTCTTGGTGTATTGGGTATGATGTTTTTTTTTCTCTTTTGTTCTCCATGGGGTAGCTGCACCGGCTTCCGTTTTGGGTTCCCAAGGAGGCAGTCGCTGGTGAGGGGTCTATCTTAACGCTATGTGGTACCAAGAGGGAATCAGAAGCGTGTAGAAACTTGTGTTAGGCATCTGATTGTTCGTGGCATGGCTTTTTCTGGTAAGCGTAGTTTTTGTATCGAGGATTTTGTTGACAAGACGGAGGAGACCAGCCTCGAGGGGTCTCCAAGGTCTCCCTAATAATTCTCATATGGAACGTTCGTGGGCTTGGCAATCGATAAACTTCCTACTAAGAAGATCTTTCTTTGGAAATTTCTTCAAGTTAAGAGGCCAATCTTGGTCTCCCTTACTTGTCAACTGGGGTTCTGGATCAAGAAAATTGGAGGTGGCGGTTGGTGTTTGGCTGGATTTGTTATGATGCTCACAATGCGTTTTTGACTCTGTACAAAGAACTATGATGCTTTCTTTAGATCATATGAGGCTTTTTTTTTTACAATACATGCGTAGTGATGGGATGTGTTTCAATGGTTTTGCGGTTGGGTGATTGCCTGGATCAATTCTAATACCCATACGTTTTTGACTCTGTACGAAGAACTATGATGTTTTCTCTAGATCATAGGAGGACTTCTTTGACAATACCTACGTAGTGATAGGATGTTGTTTTAAGGGTTTTGTGGTTGGGTTTTAGGTTTGTCTATTTCGTAAAAGTTGTTTGACTCTTCTGTTTAGTCGATAGCATGAGTGATACTATTTCCTACCCAGGGGTTTTGTTTTCTCTGGGAAGGTTTTAACGAGGCCGTCGTTAACATGCTTTCTTACCATGTAATGTTCCTTTCGTTTTAATGAAATATAATCTTTTTTTTTTATAAAAAAAAGTATAATTTATTTGAGCTGATCTCAAGGTTCACAAAACTTACGAGGCATGTTAAAAACAATAGAGAAATGAAAGAAAATCACCCAAATAAATAAGCCCAATAAGAAATGCTTACTTGACTTGAGATTAGATTTTTACACTAGAAGAAGCGTCTATGACTCATCATGATACTATCTAAAATGCGACAAGGGTATTTCCAACTTGATGGCATTGGCAGATAGTAAGACTCGGTTATGATGCATTGCTAATTTGCTACCATGCCAGCATAAAATTTGATAACAATGTAAAAGGAGAAAGAGAGACTGCAGTTCCATGGAACTTCATTCAAAGAAAGAAGCAGTGCGTGACCCCAATATAATGTGTGATCTAAACTAACATGAAATATAGAATATGTACAATACCTGATCTTTTGAGTTGATAAGGGTCATTCAACCCTAAACCCTAAACCCTTAAAATAATTATATATTAACAATATATATATATATATATATATATGCGAATCAACGAAATATAATTTATAACAAACTGTAATACAGAATACAGTAAACGAACTGACTTGGATTTGAGATAGAGGCTTGCAGATTTGATGCAATGTCCTAAAGACAGTAATTTCACCTCTTCTTAGTGCTTGAAGTTCTACAGGTGACTGTCTCCCAGGATTCAATTATCTGTATTCTAAGTCCGAGCCCTAGCATTCGGACTTAGAATCTGGCGAACTTTGTTTGTTTTCCTCTCAGACAAGATGAAATATGCTTGTAAAATGCTTTTTCTGTGGTTTTCGAATGAGGCTTCGTTTGATTTAAATAAACCTCTGAAACATTTCAGAAGAGTCACAAAATTAATTTAAATCTTAGAGTGCCCAAGTGCCCAAGGCCCATCTTTTTGACAATTAAATAATATATAATATTCAATGCCCAAATTGATTTTGAAGCCCAACTGGCTTCCAGTTGGCCCAACTTCCATTTACTAAGCGTAGGACTTCCCCATTTATAATAAAGATCTCACTCTTTCTTCTTTCTACCAATGTAGGACAAATGTCCTTAAATTTCATTCAAACTTCCAACATAATTTTGTACCCCAAAAAAATACATAGGGTCATACTTGAGCATCAGGGTGAAATGCGCACATTATGTTTTATTATAGAATTGTATCTTCATCTGGTAATATGTCTATATCATTCATTGCTGATAAAAAGGTTAAAGGGAACACATTTTCAAAGAGTGCTGCTAAACGAACCCTAAAATTAACTGAGTACACCATACTATCAAACTATTTATTGAATTACTAATTTACACTAATATAAAATGACCAAAAAGGATATATTGAATTGTGTACCCCAATATATACACCATCCTTAAGACTTGACGCATGTCCATTGTTATAACTATGGTCAACTCTTTAATTTTAATTTTTTTAAAGTATTTAAAACCATAAAATAAAATAAAAGAGAAAAAAAGAGAAAAAAAGCTCTCTCTCCTTCCCGACCCACCCCACTCTGAGATGAGTTGAGATATGCTGTCCCCAAATTCCCAAACTACCAAATCTCCCTAAATTATATTATATTGAAAACCCACACCTCTCTCGAAAGATTGAAGACAATATATTTAATTAAGAATTAAAATCTTTGTTTTACTGCTTGAGCTTTTGAACCCATGCCTTCAAACAAATTGACTTAATTTTTAACATACAACTCGGAATCCAGGAGAAATGTACTGATCCCAGTTGATTTTTGTATGCATAAAACTTAAACAATCAATAACACAAACCAGGTGGTGGTGGTCGCACAGGAGAGAGATAAAAGAAGAAGAAGAAGAAGAAGAAGCAGGAGAGAGAGAGAGAGAGAGAGAGAGAGTTTTGTTAAATTATTATTTTATTATTATTTTACTTTATTTGTTTATTTTAAATACTTTAAAAGATTAAAAATTAAAGAGGGTGTACCATGGGTATTTTTGGTAGTTAAATAGGGTGTACTTAGTTAATTTTACATTTTTATTTAAACATTAGGGTGTACTTAGATCGTAGGGTGTACCCAGTTAATTTTAGGGTTCGTTTAGCAGCACTCTTTTCAAATCTAGCATGATGCATGGAAATTGAAGGGGAAAAAAACAAAAAACTAAACACACTTCATTTAACATTTTAAGAGCAATCCTCTATGTTTTATTTGGGCCAGCACCATGGTACCAGAAATATAAGGAGAAAAGAAAAGCAAGAATTTGGAAAAATTGCATGGAAACCAAATGAATAATAAAACAGTAATATAGGGGTGTGAGCCCTCTAAGGCAAATTGGTGAGATAGCATTCTGGAGCAAAGCCTTGAGGGAATCTCTTTGTGTCTGTGCAGTAATTGTAGATCATATAATTATTTTGCACCCATGCCATCTTCCCTTGATCTGAATAATCAAGCTTCTCCCAGTACCATGCTCCTTTGTTGGCATTGGAATTTGGAGAATTTGAATCACAAGAAGAAGTTCCATAAGACCAAATGCAACCATCAGCATTGAAATTCTTGTAGGATGCAGTGAAGGGTGATTGGGTCCAATCTATCTTCACCAGTCCACCTCTTGTGGCCCAGTTATCAGCATTCCAGAGACTGGAGTATAACCTCATAGGCTGGTAGTTGGGGAATGGAATACCATAAGATTCAAGGTTCTTGAACTGTCTAATGGGGAGGCCATCAACCAAGAAGCTACATATACATGCAAGAGTATTATTAACCAAAATGCAAAGATTGTATGTTTGTGAATTCAGAGTAATTTCAGAGTGATCATATTAATTGATCACATGATGTGACAATTGTGATATGTTAATCAACAGTTACCATAATAATTTATATAATGAAAGCCACAATTAGAACTGTAAAATAGTTCTCATACAATAACAGTTACCATTCTGGTATTGGCATGATCCCATATGAAACTCTGATCCCATTCTATTACGCACCGGATTCAGGATTTTACTCTATCCCAAATCCGGGGTGTGACAAGAATAGTCAACATCAATCTTTGAAGGATATATTAATTTTCACGTCATGTAATCAGCTAATACATAAAGTTAAAATTAAATATAATGCAGTTCATTTAACATTTTTATGTTTACTTACATGATATTTTGGGGATTCCAAAGTATAGAATAGGTGTGGAAATCAGCAGTGGGGTCAAACCAAAGGTAGAATTGCTGCTCTCTGTTGCCCTTGCCTTGGCAGAACACATTTGTATGAAGTATGTAAGGGTCACCACTAAGGTTCCCCAAGAATTCAAAGTCTATCTCATCATGATATGACCCTGTTGAGGATAACTGAAACATATATATATGTATACCAGAATACCACAAGCATCAGAAAACACATAAACTCATGCAATACATGTGTAAAAATGCATTTAATTCTCAGGAGACTTACATAGAAGGTAGTGACAGTGCCAGCAGAGTTTCCAAACAAGCTTAATTTGCATATCTATCTTTGCATATAGATATTGATTATATGACTCAAAAGCTGAGCCACTAACATTGTCAAGAGAGACAGTCAGGAGCTCTCCATTGTTGAGCATTTTAGAATGATCATCCCCTCCCCATGTTATGTAGAAATCTTGATAAAACTTGCCAGAAAATGCAACCCTAGACGTGCTGATTACGGAAAGGAAAATCAGCAAAATGGCTGAAACATTCGAAGCAGAAGCAGAAACCATTGCAATTGCTTGATGTAGAATTTGGAAAAACAGAAATTTAATTTGAGTGGTTTTGGCAGACTGGTTTCTTTTCTTTTCTTTCTCTTTTTTTGAGAGAGGAAGACTGCTTATTTATAATCGTGAAGATGTGCAAACCATAGTGTGTGGCAACAACAAATTGATTTCGTGGCTTACATTTTAATCAATCATAGATTATCGAAGTTGCCCTTTCATTGGCGGTTTATGATTTTATATTCACAAACCATGTCAATAGGAGAAAAATAGAAAATAAATAAGTATTTGACTTGATTTCAGAAAGTTCATGTCATCACTAGCAAACTATGAGCCAATACTAATATAGGCTTGAACGTGATGGGCACCCAACTTATAGAAAGCAGCTAGCCAGCTAGCCAGCTAGCTACTGTCACAAGTACCAGTTGTTTCCCACCTGTGTAACAAACCATTCGTTGACACATGCATTGAACTAGCCAGTGGTTTACTTATTGTCTTGACTTTTTGAGAGTTTAATATTTGTTTATTTATTTATCTGCCTTTGGATTCATTATGCATGAACTCCTGGTTTTATATATTGTGGTAATATTTATCCACAGACCCGGTGTGTTTCTTTAATAACAATGACAACTAATCGTTTTGGAATTAGTTCTAAGAACCTCAATTTGTATTTAAGGAGAGAAGGAAAATTTATATAAGATTCATTAATTTGCAT